CAGGTTTTGATTTGGGGACAGATTACTCAGTTGTCTTTGAGAGCCAGTTCACATGGGGTTTTTTTGTTGTTTTGTTTTTGTTTTGTTTTTTGTAGTTTTTTTACTGCTAAGTTCAGGAAGTCTTTGTAGCTGCTTTTTCCTCCTTAGACCTTCTAAAGTTAGCTGATCAGTAATGAAAAGAAGTGGTGCAGGGAACTTCAGACACATTGTGATACCTGTTGTACTCAGTGGATTCCCAACTTCACTAAAATAGAAATAATGTTGTGTATCTATAGCTGGACTTGGTGTTTCTGGAAGAGAGCTGGAGAACAGGATATGTGGTAAGACTTGGGTCCGTGGCCTTGTGCTGGGCACCAGGGTGGGAAATCAGAGCGGGTCAGGTTGGAAAGGACCACAGTGGGTCACCTGGTCCCACCTCCCTGCTCCAGCAGGGTCATCCCAGAGCACATGGCACAGGATTGTGTCCAGACAGTTCTTGAATATCTCCAGTGAGGGAGACTCTGCAGCCTCTCTGGGCAACCTGTTCCAGTGCACGGTCACTGCACAGTAAAGAAGTTCTTCCTCATGTTCAGGTGAACTCCCTGGGCTTCAGTTCCTGCCTGGTGCCTCCTGTCCCACTGCTTGGCACCACTGAGCAAAGCCTGGTCCATCCTCTTGTCCCTTCAGACATTGATGAGGTCCCCCCTCAAGGCTGAACAGGCCCAGCTCTCTCAGCCTTTCCTCATAAGAGAGGTGCTCCAGTCCCTAAATCACCTTTGTTGCTCTCTGCTGGACCCCCTCCAGGAGCTCCGTGTCTCTCTTGTCCTGAGGAGCCCAGAATTGGACACAGCACTCCAGGTGGAGCCTCACTAGGGCAGAGTAGAGTGGCAGAATCACCTCCCTTGACTTAAAGTAAAGATTGTTCATCGAAAGATGTAAAAACCTTGATGTAAAAGTTCATTTCAGGGATGCCAACCAACCTCACTCTGGGCAGTCTATTCCCAGAGGCTGGTGCTGATGCCCAGCACCCTGCAGAAGCGATGGCAGCTGGGTGACCACCTATGGAGGTGGGCACTGGCCACGGCTCACAGGGCGAACACGCAGAACTGCAGCAGCACACTGTCCCCTGACCCTAATGCACAGTATACAGATACTTGCTGCTGCCAATAAGGGCATGTGGACTTGCTGGTTTTTTGAGGAAGATGGCTGGTATAGAAAACTTGAAAAATTACAGCCTCTCTTCTCTTGGCTACTTGAGAGTGCACCAGCATCCCAGTGTGCCTGCTTTCTAGGCGAGCCCCTGCGAGGTGCCTGCAGCAACCCTCTGGGGGTGAAAGGTCTCCCATCCTTTTTTAATGGTACAAACAAGAAGCTTGTACATTAGAAACAACGATTTTAAGTGTTGTTGACATTTACACTGAAAGTCTTTTCCACTCCTTCACGTAAATAACGGAGAAAAAGGCTAGAATCGAGATTTAGGCTTGTTCTCGCTGTGTGGTCACTGCCTGCCTGATTTCTAACTATTTACTTTTACTTTTTCCAAATGTCTGAAAATTTCGGGGTCAACTTGAAGTCAAGATGTACTTGGGTTCAGAGAAATCTTGCAGTCCTGAGCTGGCTTTTGAATCTTCTGATGATATAAGGCAAAGTTGATAGAATATGTCAAGATAACTCAGGATTCTTAGATAAATGTAGTCAACTCCTCTAGATGGGAGGAAAAATGTGCAGAGGCTTCTTTGTTTTTATAGTAATAGTGTATGCATAGTGGCTGATAGATGAATGGGGTTAAATAATCTCCCACACTCCCCAGTGAGCTAAATTCTCCATGACAAGAAAACAATAAAGAAGCTATGGCTGCAGAAAACTTCAGTAGATTGCTTGCCGTAGTGATGTGTTCATTATTTAATGATGAGAGAAAGTGAGGGTGAAAATGCAGGATATTGACGTTCATTTCCATTAATTTGTCATTAAAGTGTACCAGACATATGTGAAGAACACAGAAGTCAAGAGGACTGTCCAAAGATGAGACCTTTTGCAGAGGGCTTCTTGTCTAAGAGCCAAAGGCCTTATTCTCTTCCTAGTTATGTCACTTACTTGCCTCATGTACTTCAGCAAGTTTGATTCCCTCAGAGTATAAAGGTTTTCACTGCTTTCAAAAATGAGAACAGGTGGGGGACCTGAAAATGTGAATTCAGGAATAGGCACGTGTGTTCACGTGTGTGTGTGTGTGTTTATGTATCACCTTAGAGCCTTTGACTTGAAGGAGCTGTATTAAAGCCACATATTTTTACTGTTGGAATGAGTTCTGTTGGAATGAGTTCTAGAAGCTCCTTCTGGAGGAGGCTTTTTCTTTCCATCCTGGTGCCAGAGGCAAGGGGCCGAGTGCAAATGCCCACCTCAGCAGCAGTGCAATGAACATCTTCTAGTAAAGTTCCAGCTCAGCCAGAAAGACCTTCTGCCTCTCCCCTGCCCCAGCCACTGTCCTGTTAGTGCTTGCAGCTCCTGGCCCCAGTGAGGGGGCTAGACTAGATGAACTTGGTGCCACGTTCGTTCCTGCTGCGAGTGGGCACTTGGCAGTGAAGGACTTTTACTGAGCTTCATCCAGCAGTTTTGAATGATAACGCTGTGATTTGTGCAGCTTCCAAACCTTTTGGATGCCGTGGGTTGTTGGGCTGTGGGGGCTGCTGGAGAGATGTCTCCTGTTGGGCCGTTCTTAATCTGTACTGAGTGTTCTGTATTGTTGTTCGTTTTGTTTTGCTTTTTCCTCTCTGGATGATGGGAATGGGAAGCATCTCTGTTCCAGATACTGCCATTGCCACTCCTAAAGGAGTTGTATTTGATTCCTGAGCATTCACTACGAAGGCATTACTAATTAGCTGGCAAGATGAGGAAACCCGAATTATGTGAGCGCATTACTCAGCTGTATTATTTTAATGTGCTTTTTAAAATAGTCTATCGGATGGTCTCCAAGTAGTGCAGGGTGTGACTTGTGGGTGGTAGAGCAAACCTGGCATAACAAAGGCTTTGGTGATGGGAGGTTGCAGCCCTTGGCATGCAATCCTTTGATCTCCTTTCTGAGACTGGGGGAAAACAAGGACAGTAACACATGCTGTCCAGTAAGAGTCAGTGTATGAGGCAGGCCAAGGAGAGGACTGTGGCATGGTGCCATTAGAGGTCACAGCAACCTGTGGCAGATTTAGGGAAATAGCATTCCTGTTGGAGGCAGGGAGCCTGCTGCCTATGCATCAAAAGAAATTCCTCACATGAAGGAAAATTAAACAACACCGCTACTTTGTTATCAGAGTAACTTGCTCTTACCCTTATAAATTGCCTCTTCCTTTACTCCACTCCAGAATGTGATCTTCTGAAAGTAATCCCACTTCTCAGCTTGTAATGGTTGGCAGGGCCTGTCACTGATGCCGTGTCAAAAACTTCCCCAAATCTCAAAGTAACTGTCGGAGTTTTCCATTTATCACCTTCGTTTGTCTGCCCTGTGTGTCTCACCAGCCTGTTGTCAGGTTCAGAGCTGTTTGGCCCATGGACTGCCTCGAGCTGGTGTGTTGGTCCCACACAGTCCCAGCCCTGTAGTTTCTGCAGAGGGACGCAGTAAATAGGAGCAGAACTCTTTACTTGAAAGGGTCTCCCCAAACTGTGCCCATTGCAGTAAGTGCATGCCTGTCAGGAAGGCTATTTAAGTTCAGTGTAAAAAATCACTTGAGTGTCAGTCTTCTTAACGTTCCTGGCATCATTTTTAATCTTTGGTAAAGAAATGAGACTTATTTATTCGTTTTGATTGGTTGTTTCCTAAGAACTTTTGGACTAGTTGTCTGATATGTTTAAGGGAAGGACATGATAGATATTTACAATCTCCCAAGCAAAGTGGAAGGTGACTAATTCTTCACAATCTTTTCCCCTGTAAATGAAGCTCAGAGAAGCCAATTCAAAATTGGGAAGTGATTGGAACTCCGTATGGATCGAGGAGGATTCTGAGCTCATGGAAGAGAAATCACTGAGGGTTGCCGGATACAAAGGAGCTATACCTGATATCCGAAATCCCTGATTTGAAAACAGTTAAATGGTAGAAGAGGATTTCAGGGAAATATTATGTCTCTTTGCTTTGTTTTTGTGCTTCTCTTAGGCATCTGCTTAAGTCCACAGTTAGAGTCAGGATTTGGAGGCAGATGGACTTTTTTTTCAGACATTCTGAAGTTGCTGGTGCATTTTTAAATCCAGACTAACCAGAGCATTGCTGCTTCTTGGCCCTGGATGGGTCATGGTAAAGGAGTGAGGGCCTTTTTGGGGGAGAGAGGTGGTAAAGTTAGGGACAAATGACAAAATCTAGAGGGAAGCAGACTCAAAAATTTCCATAGCTGATAGAATTATTGGTGTGTAATGATTGTGCTTCTACAGTTTAATGCATTGAATTTGTGTGTGTGTCTGTGCTTGCATATCTTATACCATCTGGTTGCTGCAGCATTCATTGGGTATCTGCAGGCTGTGGTTCCATGGGCATTTCTTTAACCAATTATGGTGGCTTAATTGAAGAAAGTCAGACTGAGAAACTGAACCTAAACCAAAAGTAACCCAGGAGAATGAAAAGCATCAGTTTTAACTTGGTTCTGTTCCTGCATCCAATTCACCACTCAGCTGCATAAAAGCCTGTCTGAAGGCAAGCACTGACAGTGATACTGGCCTTTCCATGTCTGAAGTGTTTGTTAAACTGCCATCTCAGAGAGGTGGGTATGAAATCACTGCTATAAACTGTACTGTGCTTGTTCCCTGTCACACTCTCCATACAAGGCAGTGGCACACTGCACCAGAATTTGGCACATTACATGCCTTTACAGCCCATGTGTGAAGGTCATTGTCTAGAGAAAATAGGAATATGCAAGTGTTTATTCCTAATGAGAACCTTATTTCAGTTCCTCTCAGTAACTGCTTCAGATGCTTTACATCACTTTGGTTTTCGTTTTCATTAGAAGTGAGAACTTGTTCCTAATGTCCTCTTCCTTTCTCCACAGATAATCTGATCAAAGCCATCCTGTCAGCAACCAAAGATTACCGTCTAACTCCAGCTCTTGACAGGTAAGAGGAGACCTTTTAGAATAGAAGGAGTAGAAGTCACTCTTTTCCATGTGTCCTAAATAAATTTTGTTAGATGTTTTTGCCAGATACTTTTGCCAGTAAATTCGGCTGTGTTTTGTAGGTAGATCAGGAGCTGGAAACTGAGTCCTCTTTCCAGTAAATCTGTAAATGCTGGAGACCCCTGTTCAGTCAAACATAAGTAGCAGAAAGCTTTTGACTATTTCCTAATCTTTTGTTTCATATGTGGTTACAAGACATGCTCTTGCCCCTTTTTCAAATAAGTAAATAGCAGATTTTCAATAAACAACGTTACACTTTTCCAACCTTTCTGACAAAACAACACAACCACAAGAAACTCTTAGAGGGAAAGAAGGGACTGGCTTATTTCAACACTGTTTTTCACTAATACCCCACTAGTAAAGCAGGAATGTGGGGTTGTGTTGGCCAAGCCTGTGCTGGGATGCACAGGATAGAAGTCTCCTGGGCCCTGTGGTACTTGAATTCAACCCTTTGGAAGAAGCTTCTTTGATTCTTCAGTCCTATTGAAGAGGTTGCTTCTGAAACTCAATGGCATGTTTACAATCCAGCTTTCAAGTGATATTCCTTTAGTCTTTGCTGCCCTTGCTTTTCTGTCATTCTGTCCCTTTGCCCCGGAGTTTTGGTTTAGTGTCACCTCCTGGATTAGGTGTATTTTTTTTCAGAAGCTGTCAGAGGTTTTTCCTGGGACGTGAACTCTTTTCAAGGTCCTGGTACTACTTCTTTCCAGTGATACTTGAACCTGGGCTAACAGCACAGTTCCTGCTTTCTAAACACACTGGGTTTATTTCCTGGCCCAGCTCCCCCTCTGCCCACTTTTCCATGACAAAGTCCATAAGTTTTTCCAGCCTTTCCATAGGTCACCGCATCTCTCCTGTCGATTGTAGAGCTTGCCTGCTGTAGTTAGAGTTGAGAGCTACTCTCTGTGTGAAAGTTTATTCTTAGTCATTCACAGTCTATGTGCTAATTTAGGTTTCTTTGAAGTTTGCCTTGCCTCGCAGCAGTGCCGGGCAGGGTTAGCCTTCAGACTTCGGATTAATTTGAGAAATTATGTCCAGAAGGCAAAAATCATTTCACAAATGACCTTCTTAGAGATTTTGCACACAACTGAGTCTCATCCATCTGGGGTTTATCTCAGCTCTGGTTGGAGAGTTAAGATTTTAATCTGTTGAAAAATCCACATATAGACTCTTTCAGAAGGTTGCTCATGGGAAATTAGTGTTAATGACAGAGGGCAGGTGGAAGATTCTTGCAGTGAAGGTTAATGTAATTGTGACCCTTGCTTCTCACCTGTTTTTTGAGGAGGAGAATGTTTCAGGTTTTCTAAAAGTAATTTCTCAGGAGGCTGTGAAACATAACCACTCCAGCATGAGCTGCTCACTTTGGTTAATGTTCTTTGGGATGGGTTTGGTGCAGAGATAGGAAAGACCTAACACTCAAGCCTCATGAAATGTATGCAAAGTCCCTGAGACACCAAACACAAATGAGGGCTGGGGAACAGGCTGGACATGTACTGCTGTGGTATTGCAGTAACAAAGTTTGGTGGTGTGTAAACACACTTATCTTGAGGAAGTTCTCTATTCCTGGGAATTGTTGTGATAAAAGCAAATCAGTGGATGTTGGTTGTGTAGTACTTCACAGTCAAATACCTCCCAAAGCCCTTCCAAGTGAGCAGTTCTTAGGAAAATTAAAAATTGAACTGTATATGAGAGAGGGGCTCGGGATAGCAAGCCACAGAGTGAGAGCCCAAAGGAGCATGCAGCAGAGGGTTATTAGGAGAGAGAGCTTGGGTACTGTAGAGGGTGTTAAGGGTGCCACAGTGCTGCTCTGGGAAACCTGCTTGGTGAGTAGGGCATGGATGAAGACTTGGGTATGGTTCCAGAAATGTTCCATCACTGTGGTTGTCCATGAATTCCAGCACTGGCTGCAATGGGCATCTGCCATTTGGGATTCCAGAAGAGCTGACAGAGCAGACTGGTGAAGGAAGGTTAGATGAGGACATCTTGTCTCAAGCTCAAAGCACAGCCCAACAGTTCCTCTCTGTGACAGCTCCAGTGTGGTGGGAGCAGAGCCTTGAGGTTTGATTCCCTCCCTGACTGGTCAGGGCCAAAGGCCAGACCTCTCTCTCCTTTGCTCACCACCTTGGAGCAACTGAAGAGGGCCTGACTTAAGGGACCTTGAAAGGTCCTTTCCAACCCAAACAAACCATTCTTGGTTCTGTGATTAAGGGCTGAAAAAATGCTTTATTGGGGAAGTGTAAGAGACACAGTAGGTAAGAGACACGGCTCAAATCTATAAGGTACCAAGGGCTTCAGACTTGGGAGATCTTGTGAACCCTTCCACTTGTAGGCTCTCAGAAGTCAAGTGAGCTGATTTTAGAAGCAGGAAAAAAGGCTGCAGGTCCACCCTCTCTTCAAGATGGGGTCACACCAAAATTTTCCCTGTTGGCAAAACCAGTCTAAGAGTTGAATCCCACCCTTCTCCTTGTGCTGCTGCCATGGTTTGGAAAGGGACTTTAAAGTGGATCGGTGAAATGATTCCAGTTTATGACTTTTTTCTCTTAACCCAGGTCATTCCGGTGGCCTCATTTCCACAGAGATGAGCTCCAGAGCTGTGTGGGCACAGAGCTGTAACAGCAGCAGGAGAGGCAGAGGGCTGGGACGGGTGGGGAGGGTGAGCGCTGCCCAGCCCACTGGAACAAATGTTCCTGTAACTGTAGGCTTGAAGGCAGCTTTCCCAGGGGGAAGGGTGGGAGAGGCAGGAAAGGTGAGGTCAGAGCAGTGCGTGACAGCATTGGAAGGAAAGAGAGGATTAGAGTTGTGTGGTGGAGGATCTACACCGAGCCTTTGGTCTCGTCCCTACCCAAGCTTCGCCATTTCTGTGCTCCTTCACGAAGTTGGTCCTTGAGATGTTACATTCACTTGCCTCTCATAAGCCCTGGAAATGAATTTGTTTGTTTGATTGTCTCTGTGACAAAGGGCATCCTGATGCACCTTTCCTGACACGGTGTACTGACACGGTGCTGAAATGAGGCAAACGTGATCCTTCCGGGTGTGCGTACACCTTTCATCATCCCACGGCAGCTTTGCCAGCTCACTTCAACTAATCCCTCCATTGTGTTATAACTAGCAACAGCTGGAGGGCATGTGCACAAAGGCTATAGTTCACACCTGTAACACAGTGTAAGTGGTGCCCTGCTTTCTTAGCTCTCTTCGTGACTCCTTACTGTGGCACCTTTGTGTTGGACAGTAACCTGCTTCTGCTCCAGGACAGGGTAGGAAAAGCTGCAGTGGTGTTTGGGAGGGTAGTTACAAGTCAGCTCTGAGCTTTTCTGAAGAAGGTTGGAGATGCAGGGGACTTTCTTTGGAGTCTCTGACCTCTTCCTTCAGAGCTGCCACGTCTTTCTCCCTAGTACAGATGTTGGTGGGCCTCGTCTTTGACACTTCATAGTTCTCCTGCCCTCCACTGACTTTTCCAAGCCCATTTATATTGTTGACATTTTCACTGCTTCCTTTAGTGGCTCATCCAGTGGCCTGCCCCTCATTCTACAAATGGGTCAGGGTTTGGTTTCTAGTTCCACAGCCCTTCTGCTGGCTGGACTTCAAGGGATTTGGGGGTTAAATCTCTCTGGTGATGACATGTAGATTTCCTATGAAAAGACATAAATATAAAAACCTAACTGACCTTTTTGTATTGCCTCCAGGTGGTAATGAAGGAAAACTGAGAGTCTGAGCTTATAACTAACACAGTCTTTACTAATGCAGGATATAAACTGAGCAAGTCAGAAAGGAATTTGATAAAACAGGAGAGATGTGTCCCCCTCTGGCTCGGGTTGATAGCACCCATTTAAATAGCAGCAGCCAGTTCAAACCAGAATATGCTAAGCCTCCCTAAGCACCAGTTACCCTAAAGATGTTTTTTAATTATTCTGTTATATCTTTCCTCAAAGCCTTCAGTTCCAAAGTTGCGTAAAGGAAGGCTTTGTGGTTTCTCTCCCCTGACAAATCCCTAAAGTGCTTTGATAAGGGAGGAAGAGGAAGTATGAATCTGTGAATTGCTACAACGCAAACACGTGTTTACAGTGCTGTATTGTTCAAGAAAATCTGCGTGAATCCTGGTTTTGGTGTAGATCAACTCAACCTTGGAGCATCTGTGTCAAAGACTCTGTACATCTGGCTGCAGCTCCCAGCTTAGGGCTTTAGGGAAAGTCTGTCTGTGGAAAGTCCATGACCCTCCTTCATACCACCCTGGTAGCAAACTGGAACCTGGGCTGTGTCCCATGTGTTCAGTCCCTGAGCTCTCCTGGAAAAGAAATAGAGCTTTGATGTACTATGTAAACAAACATTAAGGTGTTTGCACACTTCTTTGTGGAGAAACAATTGAGCTGTAACTGATGCTGCTTGCACGGTGTGTTTCTTCAGCCAGAAGCTTGCCTGGAGCCAGCAGTGACTGTGTGGGTTTCCCATGCTCAAGCCCCATCAGTGGGGAGAGTTTGAAAGAAATTTAAGCTGCTAGAAGATCAAAGATTAGACCTTAGAGTCAGAAAGATACTAATGAAAAATCTTATCTGCAGACTTAGGGAAAAAGGAGAACACATTTAAATGTGTCAGGACCACAAGGGTATGAGGCTGGGCAAAGGTGATGAACCTATCAGTTATGATGAGTAAAGGCAGAACCATTCACTTAAGCAGTTGTTTCATTTTTGGAGATAAAAATAGAATGATGTTGTCCCATTTTAGAGCAACAATTAAATACTTTGTGTATTTTTTATTAGTAACTGCGAGGATATAAAATGACAATTACATGCCTTTCAAGGTAAGCACTGAAGAGTGTTTAAAGATTTTTTAGTTTGTTTTACTGTTTTCCTTTTAACCCTTCTTGGAATGTTTGATAGAACAGCAAATGTTGTGCCATTTTTGGAAAATATGGGAGATGATAAAAGGGTGGCTGTAAGTTGATTAGCTTGGTTTTGCAGGAAAAATCCTGGAAAGTTAGATCTGGGACAGAGCTTGAATGACAGCATAACTGATGTGAGCTACTTTGGGTTTGTGGAACTGAAATCTTGCCATGTAGAGGATATATTTTTTAGATGAACTAGAAGCTAAAATGATAAAGGTAACCTTTTTCAAGACAGGCATTAGTTATTAGTCTCAGCCCATGATATTCTGATTCTACACTACACCATTTAGATATAGCCTTTTTAGGAATGGGACAGTCACATAGCTTTAGAAAGTTACTATCAGGGTTGAGAATTAATCCTTTAGTGACACTTCTGTTGTAGTCCTGCTGGCAGGTATTTGCAGGGGCTAAAACCAATCTGGAGTAAATGTAAAATTACACTAGAAAAATTTGCCAGAACCAAAGACTGGGAAAGGAAGGAGTAGCAGGGCCAGGTCAGTCTTGACCTTTGCATGGGATCCTTCTTTGAACAATGCTGTACTGGAGCCAAATCAAAAATCAGGCATCACAGGGGTGACAACACAGATCATGTGTACAAGATGAGGATTATATTCTGCAAACCAATGACTATAAAAAGAGGATTGGAATGATGTACGTAGAGTCCTCTGTGTAAAAGGGACTCTGCTTTGAGCAGCATTAGCTCCACGTGCTGGTCTTCCAGATTCAGTGCTTCAGAGATCTGGGGAGAAGCTGAAAATTGTTCAGAGGAGGTACCACAAGTGTGAATCAAGACCTAGGAGAGCTACCATACTGTGCAAGATGTGATGAGCTTGCTCCAGTTGGTATGGCCAGTGGAAGGTTAAAAATGGGCTTTGATCAGTCTACGGGTACTGTGTGGGAGCAGGGCCATGAAAAGCTGCTGGAGCAGCTTTGGCTGGTGGAACTGGTTCTTTTATATCGTGTGTGGCAGCTCATGCTCTCCAGTCTGACCCACGAGGGGCAAATGTTTATACACATGCAGATGTGGAAGGGACTACTGACAGTAGATGGTGCTTTAATTTAGCAGAAGAGCAAAGACTGTGATTAAGTGGTTTGAGGCTGAAACAAGCAGATCTGTATTCAAAATTGGTAAGAGCTGCCATCCTAACATAAGTGGGAGAAGGATAGAGGGGAGTCTCCGTAGCTTGCAGCCTTTGGATTTTGACCTGGTATCCTTCTTCAAAAGAGAAAATTAAGAAAAGTCATGGCTGAGAGACAACTGAGTAGAGAAATTATGGTATTTCACCTGGCAGTCTGCTATTGAGGAGGTCAAACTTAATCATCATAAGAGTGTATTTCCATCTGAAATGTCACTTGGCCAGAACTGTCTATTTTTCCCTTCTTTTCCTGAAAGGTTATGACAAAGTTGTAACCACCTTTGTCACTTGTTTGGGTGTACTTGGGGTTGACTCTTTTACTTCCCCCTTTGTCACAATATACTGCCTGAACCAGATCTTGCATCTGCTTTCCCCTTGTTGCCAGAACTGTTGTTTTGTTGGTTTTTTTTTTTTGCTGTGCCATCATCTATAAAATTCTTTCTCTGTTGTGGTTTGATTATCACAAACATCTATGCTTCTTCAGCCTTAGGGACACTGGGCTAACACGACCATCTGCTTGGGGATGTTTTTTTTTTCTTTTGGAAAGGCTCAGATACGCAGTGAAACTTTTTCTGGGCAAGGGGAAGCTGTTCCAGAGCATTTCTTGGTGCTGTTAATTCTGCACGTGTCTCCAGCTAATGGCTCTGTCAGCAGAGTGACCCTCAGTGGTTTAGCCGAGTCTTTAAGTGCACTCCAGCCCTGCTCTGCAAAGAGGGACCCCTCATAAGTAGAGCTTTTCGTGCTGGCTCTTTAGACTCATCACAGAGAGGACAGCCTGGAGGAGCCCAGTTGAGTGTGCCTGGGACGAGGAAGGCTGCCTAGCCCAGAGATCTGCTCCAAACAACTGATTGCCTTGGACCCTTTCCGAAAAAGGCTCTGCAGACACGTATTCCTCCAGTGAACTACCAGAGGTGGAGGCACACTGCCAGAAGAGCCAGCTGCGTTTGGGATTAGATGGCTGGAAAGAAGTCCTTTCTCTGTCTTCAAAACAAGATCACTTCTTAACATCTGCTGCAGAGAGTTCTTGTGACTCAGGGTTCCACAAGAAACCGTTCTCCTCCTTCTTTTTCCTGTTTCTTTTTCTTTGTAATTAAGGTTATTTTCCTTCCCTTTCCTCACCTATTGTGTCTCCATATATGTTTCCTACTGGACAGGAGTGGGGAGGGGAAGGGGGTGTCCTTTTTCCTCTCCCTTTAGTGGGGGTTTTTTTGTCTCTTGAAGTCTCGTGATAGCAGCAGCAATTTTGCTCTCACCAAGGTGAGCACACCCCAGATAACCTGGCAAGATCTGCCTGCACTCACGAAATTGCTTGGAGAAAAGACTTCCTCACTAAGCCTTTGGTTTATTGTTATTTCAGTGCTGAATGAATGATGAGAAGGTTTAAGTAAACAGATGGGTTTGATTCAAGCCCATCATACCACGGGTGTGGGGGGAGAGGAGCTGCTTGTCCTGACAGCTCATCTCATTAGGCCACACGTGGTGTGAGGTGTTGAAAGCAGTTTATCACGTGTAATGCCTGGGCATGATGAGGTGAGCTGGGGATCAAGTGTATCTCTGTCCCCCCTCTCCTAATTCTTGATATTTGCAAAGGTTTCCTGTGGTTCTCAGGTGCGTGCAAACTAAATATGTGTGGCTCTGTGTGTTTGAAGTGACGTTACAAAAATCACCTCTTCCTCTGTTTCTTCCACAGTCTCAGCTGCCGGAGATGTATTATTGTGGGAAATGGTGGAGTACTTGCAAATAAATCATTGGGGTTAAAAATTGATGACTATGATGTTGTTGTCAGGTGAGTCTTTGGCATTATAGTTTCCTTGTCATCTATTCAGTTTCTGTATCGGTTCACTTGCTGTGCAGGCAGCCTCTAACCTGTACCAGTGACAGTATCCATTTGTATGAAAACATTAACTTATATGGAGGGGAAGAAAAGACAAGAGCATATAAATGTTTGTTATAAATGGCGTTCACATCAAAGGGTAAAGGCACTCCTCAAACATTCCATTTTCCACCGCTGTTTGGGAATGTGGTCTCTCATGTGATCCTGCTTGAACCTTCCCTTCGTAGCTCCTTTCTGAAAGCTGCTGCTTTTTGTGATGCCCTTAGGTGGTGAAGCAGTAACTCAAACTGTTGGATCTGCTCCCAGATGTATCCCCTAGGTAGCTCAGGGGAGTATTACTGGTCATACATGTGTAGCATTCCCCAGGAACTTCATTTCACAGCTAGGATGGGAAGGGCTAAGAGTGATGCAACGTGGGATGTTAGGGGGCAGAAAGCCTCTATGAGTGAGGACCCAGTGATTACAGGCGCCCTAAAAACTGGGAATACTTTGCCTCTGTTCACTGCAGATGACAATGTCGAATAAGGGAGCAGAAGCAGAGTGGTGTAGGAGTGGAAAGGACCACAGGCAAAGTCAGGACTTCTTGCTTTGGCTGAGGACCTGGATCATCGCCATCTCAGAATGCTTGAAAAACGTGCTGATATGTGAAATCACAGGTCTAGTCATAACTCTTAGTAATAAATCTGTCAAGTCAGGGAGGCGTTCTGGGTGACTGGAGATTAACAAACATAATACCTGTACTAATGGAGACTGAGAGAGAGTGTGTGTGTGTAGGAGGGAGGGGGGGGGATGTGCTCTAGGGAGATACAGACCCATTAGTCTGACTTGAAAAAAAAATGCAGGGCTTTCCAGCAGGTTTTGGATCATGAGTAACAAAATATTACAGTGGTAAATAGGAAAACTGGGATAAACTGCAGTGTAAGTTTATAAAAACTGGTTTAACATAGTCTAAGTCGGCATTTTTTGCCTTAATAAGATAACTGATTTCACGTTAAAGGAAATGTATCCGATATCATCTCTCTGAATTTCAGTCAACTGTGAGATATGGTGGCAAATAGCAAATTCTTAGCTAAGGTGGAAGAAAGGAAGGGATTAGTAAAAGAATTTAAGGCAGGTATCATTTAGCATGGTCTGTGTTCTCTCCTGTGTGCCAGTAATGGGCACATGAGGAAAGAACAGAACATACAGAGAGTAATAAATATCCTCTAACTCTGGGCAAAAAGACAAAGAAGACCCCTTTTAGTCCTTTGTTCCTGTGAATGGTTCCCTGGTTCTCCATCAGTGTGCTGGACACAGGGATGGCTGTTCAGAACAGGACAAAATTTTTACAGCCCTTTCCCTAGTCTCACTATCAGTTCTTAGCAAAGAGCTCTTACTACTCGTCATAGGCTGGTGACTTGTAGTAATTTGAGCTGAATTAAAAGCAGTTACAGTCTTTTCTCGGGTTCAGGATGTTCAAAAAGTGGCTAAAGAATGGTTTCAATCCATCTGGACTAAGCCACCCACTAAGATTTACATCAGAAAGTCCACTATTTAATTTCCGAATGAAAAGTTCGACTTCTTCCTCTCCACATCAGTAAATCTAAGTCAGTTTGCAAGCTGGGAGGATAAGAGGGCAGCCGAGCACCTGTGCTGTTTGTGGGGCAGATAAAGAGGAGAGAAGTCAACTGTAAAGGTTAAATGAAGCCAGGTGCTGGGATGTGTATCCAACTGCTTGCTTTACTCCTGTGGAAGCCTGAGGAAGTCCCTTGTATTGCAGCATCCTTTTTCATGGGTTGCAAAACTCCTTTGAAGGATCATATTTGGGACATAGGAAGTGAATTTTAAGGGGAAAATGTGGTATGTTTGTGGACAAAGAAGTGATCCAGCAGGACATGGAGTTTTTTGATGCCCATGTGAGGATTGCTAATTGCAGCAATAAATTTTGTTCTTGCGATGAACATCATCCAGTCAGTTTTGCCAGTTCTAAAACAGCTTGGAGTGAGTTGGTTACTGTTTTTCTTTAACTAGATATTATCAGATTTCAGTGCAGATGTTTTTCCTAGCTGTGACACTGTTTACCTGGCAGGAGCTTCTTGCAGCAGTCAGTCATCAGTATTCTGAAATGCTTCCTTGCAGACAGGGCAAAAACAAGTCTGTATCAGAAAGTCCTGATCAGAACAACACAGGGATTCACCTGATCATGATACTTTAGTGGTGGAATCTTCATGGTGCCACATTTAGGAGTTAGTGTCTCGTAGGCAGACACAGACTTAAAAACACTCTGAAACTTCTTATGTGAGAAAACTGCCCATCCATGGGCAGTACGAGGAGGCCTGACATCCTAACCTGGGTTTTTCAAGATTTAGCTGTGTTTATAACCAGCAGTGTGTCTTGCCTGAGAAGGGGTTCAAGCTGTGTAGCATCACCTCGGTGAACACGGGCTGTGGCTGCCAGAGCTCCTCCTGCTCCATTGCCCACACTTTCTTCGGACAGTACTTTGTAATATTTGTCTCTGTTTCCTTTACTTTATGTGAGGTCATCTACCCCAAAGGCACACAACACCCTAAAGTTTAAATAACGCCCATAAAAAGAGCGAGTGATGTGTGAATGTTCCATCAGCAGCAGAGGAAAGGTAAGGGGATCAGGCTGGCAGGGATCACTGTTACTGCAGGTAATCAGGTGTAGCTACCTCAAAGTCAGGCTACAAAGCAAGGGTTTATAAACCATGCAAAAAGACTTCACCTGCTGTATAAATTGTGGTGGTGCTGATTCTTAAGCTGCTTTCCCTCCGATATTTTATTCCTAATGATAAAGCAAGTATTTTTACTAAAAGTGCATAGGAGTTTATTCCTCTAAAATTTGAATATAATTTCAGATTTTACACAAAGATTTTCTTCTACTAAAAAGTTTCCAATGTGAAATGCTTACCCAGGCTGAAAAAGACAAATCCAGATACTCATTAACATTCCTGCACGGCAAAATTTGCAGTCCATAAGCACTTTCCAGTATATTGAACTACACCAAGTCAAGAATGCTGCAATAATTCAAGCAGGCAATGCTGTTCCATCAGGGGCTGCTATTTGATGTCAGCAAGATTTGTATTCCAAGTTACTTGAAACTTCCTCAGCTTTGGGTTTCTAGTTTTGAATAGAAGTTTTGAATAATGTCATGAAAGTCATCACTGCAGTTCATGCCAAAGCAGTTTGTTTTAACAGAAGCACAGCTAAATACACAGCATTCCCTTAGAAATCAGTGTGCCCAAGAGCAAAGCTGTGTGCCTGCTTGGGTGTTTTCAGGGTGGGATGCACTTCCACAGCAGGAACTCCTTGGAGTCAGTGAGACTGAAGCTGTGCTGAGCCTTGCCCCAGCTGTGCAGCCCAACCTCCTCCTTTGTGCTGCCACTGCAGGGCAGCTCACCCTCCAGATGGGCCAGTTTGGGGTATTAAGCCCAGGAGATTGTTCCTTTGGGGTTTTTTTTTTGAGAATTATATCCCTAAACAGCCTCACTGCAGGTAAAATGAGCAGTGTAAGCTCTGGACTGGGGTTGGAGCATGAAACCAGATTCAACTCTTTTAAAACTGATGTGGAGCTGCATCACCTCTTTCAGCACAGTCTTGCAGAATCCAAGTGACACATCACAGGAGCAATGGGTTGTTAAAATATTAATGCTTAGTTTGTAACTCCAAATTTGCAAGGACAATTTTTTTCAGTTTCCTTTTCCAAAGCTTCCAATTCAGTGTAAATCTCAATAGTGGATATGCAGAAATGGTTTGCATTATATTCAATTATGTATTTTAAATGGCTTCTAATTAAACTGTCTTCACAGTTTGGTATAAACCTTCATAAAATGCTAGCGATGAAGAACTGGAAGAGGTAACATTTGCTGCTCTAACAGCTGCTACAGGGAATTCTTGCCCAGCAGTGATTGCTGTGTCATCAACACCCTTGAGTGTAAGTGGGAATCCATGACAGTGTCTTCTCTGGTTGCCCTGCAGGCTGAACTCAGCTCCAGTGAAGGGCTTTGAAAAGGATGTGGGTGGCAAGACAACACTCCGGATCACATATCCTGAAGGTGCAATCCAGAAAATGGAGCAGTACGAGAAGGATTCCCTGTTTGTTCTGGCAGGATTCAAATGGCAGGATTTCAAGTGGCTGAAATACATTGTTTACAAGGAGAAAGTGGTAAGAACACTGTCAGCTGACACTGTGAAGGTCACATAATTCCTAATGGTGGGCAGATGTGACACCACCATCCTGTTTGCCATGTTTTGGTCTGAGGAGAATTCCTGTGTGTGTGTCCTGCTGCATTTAAGTGAAGACTTTCTTTACCTCCATGAGCTGCAGCTTTAATTATGTTTTACAAAGACATCTCTCTGTAACCTGACCTTGCATCACAGATGAGGCTTTCTATTCAAGATTTTGTTGGTGTGCACTAGGAACAATGAATTTAATTTTTTTTTATTTTAAAGGGTATTTAAAAGGACCGTCTCTTGCATGGATTTTATGGTCTCTTAGGATTTAGGAGCAGAGGAAGGAAAACAGCAATGGCAAGGGGAAGAAGTGGGAGTTTGGGGACAAGGATGTGATGACACAGGAGGGGAGGAGGAGACAACAGCAGCACAAATTGTTGAAAAGGCTACAAGCAGACTTAATGTGACCTCCTGAATAGCACAAGCCATTATATTTTGCTCAGTTACTGAGATTCATGATTTGTGTCTGATTGAAGTATCATCCAGAACAACAGTATCAAGTCTAATTTTAAAACACTGAAATGATGAATACTCGGTTTTCCCCATGTAAATATTTTACCCCCATCAGTTGCATTAGTGCCCTTGTGAAGTACCACAGCCCTGTTAATAGTCAGGGTTGTTCTCTGTAATTCACCCCTCCTGAATGGAATCAGCTTGTGATCAGTGGCTTCTCATTCAGTGGATGGTTTGTCTTTATCTGCCGGTCACGACATCCAGAATAAATGCCCTCTGTTTGGGTACAGTTCTCGTTTTACATATCTTATATATCTGTTTTCAAATGTTGCTTTAATGACTTTTCAGCAAGTAACGAGACAAATGGATTAGCATTCGGAGGATGGCACATTATATCATGTGTTTGGAGACAGGGAGAGGAGGTTGGCAGCTCACCACGTACACAATGAAGCAGTCTGGGAGTATAATTGCATACGGTTGTTACAGAGATGGCCTTAAGGGCTCATACTTTGCTCTTGTCTCATACTGGCACCAACTTGCAATTATTTTCCTGGTACCAGACGGATGAAGTTACCTGTCAGCCTCTGGGCAAGCACCAGTGGGCTTTCGTAACATGAATAATTGAGTCAAAAGTAATTTTCACTGCTTTATGTCAGGCTCTTCTTCCTCATTCAGGGGAAGGGAAAACCCTGGCACTGTCAGTGCCCTGCAACCTGAATGCAGTTGCAGGGACTCGTGGTGTTTAGCTTGAAGCTCAAAGGATGGGTTGGTTTACTTGAAAACAAATTGAATTTCCACCTGATGCTTGCAGTCAAGTGGTCACCACTAAGTTCTAATGTGGTTTTCCCCTGCTCTTAGAAGGATGCAGCAAATTGTCTGTTAAAACTTGCTGGAAGACCGAGGAGAGTGATTGCAGTTGTTTGAACTGAGTGCTTCAGTGCCCAGCTTGGCAGAGAGCAGAAGGAACTGGAGCTTCTTGCATTGCATGTTACTTCAGTGCTCTTGTGATTGGCTCCTTATCCTTCATTTCTTCAGAATAAATGCACCCTTTTTTTTTTTTTCAGTTCTTTTAGGTGATGTTTTCCAGATCTCTTTAATTCCTGTTGCTCTTTTGAATGCCTGCAGTTAATTCATCTTTTCCTTAAGGAGCAGTGCCCAAAAATGTACAGACTACAGCAAAAAGAGAGAAGCAAACAGCTGCATCAGTAGCCTCACAGTTCTCATTCTGTATGCATTTGCTGTTTGGGCCTTTTCCACAGTGACACAGGAACTGAGTGTTGGGTTCCTTGAGACTCCATGTCTCAGGAAGAACTGAAGAGCAGCCACCTTCCCAGCTCCACACCCTGTGCTTGTGTCGTTGGCTCCTCCTGTCAGAGAGCAGCACTGTGCACTTGTCCCCACCGATTCTTTCTTCCAGAACTCTTCTCCAGTTTGCCAAGTTCCTTTGGCAGAGCTTCCCAGCATACCTGCCATTCTTTCCAGATCCATGTCCTCTGCAGTTTAATAAACATACTTTTTACTCCATCATCCACGTTAATAATGAAAGCACTAAACAAAGTTGGTTCCTGGGCAGAACCCAAAGTAATAACATCCTCCCATTTCTACAGTGAGCCCACTGAGAACTCATCCTTGGTACTTCTTTGGCCACTTATGAACTTGTGTCACAGTAGTATCCTTAATAACAGTTTTGGCATGTTTGTGAAAGTGATCTGTCAGAAGCTTTAGTGAATACCAGTTACATGTCTTCCTTCTCCCCAGTGATAATTTTTCTTCTGTATAAAGAATTTTTTTTAAAAATAATTTGCTCTTGACAAATCCTCATGGGTTGCTACTCAGTCTTTGTTATTTTGTTCAGGTGCTTACAAATAATTAATCCTGCTATTCTGGGAATTGAAATCATAAATCAGCTCTCTTCCCTCTTTTGCCTTTTTAGGCTAGGCACTGCTTTTGTCCATCTTTCAGTCCTTTGACAATCCTACCTTGTTCTACACAAGTTCCCAAAGGGAGTCATTGCTGGTTTTTGAGGCTGCTGAGCCACTTCATTGAATACTTTAGGATACAGCCCAGGTGACTGGAAAACATCTGTCTTGTGCTCTCTAGTCTGATCTCTCTCTATTCGAGGCTGAGATCTTGCTGTCACTGGCTTTAGCTGCGAGCAGGTGGGTGGCACAGCTGCTTTTTCTAGAGGAAACTGATGCAGAAAGTGCTGTCTCTTAGATAAAACAAGCAGGGTTATGAGAATAGCACATAGGTGTCTGTTCTGGTAGTGAGTGTTAGCATTTTTATCAGTGTGTGGTAAGTTCAAGATGACAAGAGCCTACCCAGTGCTCTCTGTGGAGAGTTTGTTTCTGTCAGCTGATGTTCCAGAGAAAAGGGACTTTCTTCCTTTCGTGGATTCATCTAGAGGTACTTGCTTGACCTGAGAGGTCTGTGTGCCACTGTTGCTTATTCCTCATCTGACGTGTTCCTCTGCAAGACTTCATCCCTGCTGCAAACCAGTGATTACAGTCAGGAGCCTGACTCAGGATGGAGAGAAGGAAAATGGAACATCCTGCTAAAAAACACAACTGCTTGGAAGTGGACACATTCCTCAAAAAAAAGAGTAGGCTGATCTCTGCCCTCTGACGTTTCCTTTGCCCGTGACTGTTGATAGAGACTCTATGTGTCCATGGCACAGTCACAGGTGACTTCCTGAATTCCTCCAGACATCTGGAGCTGCTTGGACCTGCCTGACCAGAGATTCTGGGCCAGGTACTTGGATCCTGGCTTAGCCCTCTCTTAAGTGAAATCAAAGGGAGTTTATCTGAGAAAGAGTAAATGAAAGGCGAGTGGCTATTTCTTGCTGGGTCAGTGGTCAGATAAGCTTATTCTCCCTGCAGCTGAGAGGGATTTGCTCTTGTGTTATGTTAGTCTTTTGGCAGCACTTGCATACTGAGAAAGGGGTAAGTGCTTTGTAGAGGGAAGGATTTTCTGGAGATGTTACGAGGAAAAAGAATGAGTGTGATGAAGAAGCAGCAACAGAACAGAGAGGCAGGGGATTTTATGTGTTACACAGTCTGGTGTGGTGGCCTCCCAGAGATCTGTGTGATGCCCTAGGAGACACTCTATCCAGAAACCAGAGCAGTGGAATATGGACCAAAGAAAAAGCAAAAGCTCAGCTGCTTTTTATTTCCCAGTAAAACAGGAATATCTAGAAGCAAGTAAAAACTTGAGAGAAAACATTATTCTAGAAAAAGGACAGGTTTGGCTAAATATTCAGCAGCAGCAGTGAAACAAAGGTAGTCTCCATCACAGAGTTCTGGCTGAGCTGACATTCCAAATTGTCACTGCAGGAAGTTACAGCAGTACTGTATCACCAGACAGTGCACAGCTGCCTTTAAGAAGGGGAAGGGTGAGTGAATCTGAGCGACTAAAACCCTGGTAATCTGATTTCAGTCATTTGACAAGCATTAGAATAAACTGAAGGAGAAAATAATTGCACCGGTTGCCACTAAAAGGAGTCTGGGATAGAGAAAAGGTGACATGGTTAGCAGAGGGGAGTATTGCACCATGCTGACCTAATATGTCACTGTACAAGTGGAAAGGAAGTGAGTTGGAGTCCCAGAGCCTGCAATCTCATGAACTCGTGGATGTTGCAGAAGGGTCACAGATGTGGGTTGTTCGTGCATCTGTGGTGATTGGTCTGGCAGTGCTGCCTTGGAGTCATTGCTGCAAGAACCTGCTGACACTGCCAGGCACCCTGATGAAATGACTGCTGCCAGTGCATCCCCAGAGAGGGATCACTCATGGGCAGTCACTCAGAACAGTTACACTTTCTCCTGGACTGTTCTTTTTGCCAAGAGACGTTACCTATGCTGTGATCCACCCTGCTGCTTCCCACTTCTTGTACCCCTCCTGCACCATCCTGGGTCTTCCAGAGACATTAGCTCTTCCTGAGTACTCAGAGCACCAGTGGAATTACAGGGGGAGGGAGATTTGGTCATCTATTGCTCTTAAACAAGTTTCTCTGATGCGTGGAGAGTAGATGCTTCCTGAAACAAAGGGGAATTTACAAGCTCCAGATATGCAAACCAGCCATCTCAGCCTGGTGCTGAGGCCAATTCCAGGGTGGTTTCTTGCCCATCATTAGTGAATCAGAAGGAGCTCTCTTGCTTGCTAGGGCTCACTTCCCTGAACATCTGGCACACGACGGTAAAGCAGCCAAGTGAGGGCAAAGGTGTCACTGGAAATTGGCAGCTCACAAGCTTCCTTCTCGTGTAATAATGAGCCTGCGGATGATTCCGGCGGGAATCTCTGCAGCCTCTGCCAGGAGGAGTCACTTGTGCAGCAAGCCCCTGCGGCACCTCCAAATTCTCTTTGATAGTGAAAGTCATAGGAGCAAGTGAGCACCTGCCTGCCAGCGTGGCCAGGCTGGGTTGTCTGTCCCTTGCAGGGGCATGTCTTTGACAACTTGCACACAGCAGCCATGCCGTCCAAAAA